TAAAAAATTTCAAATTTCACATGCAAAATCTTTATACTGTCCAGATAGTTATCAAATGTTTCTTAAGAAAAAACTTTATATTTTATCTGTTATTCTCACTAATGATTCTCTGTATGGCTTCGGTAGATTTGACCATTCTTGTAACCATCATAAAAAATTAGGAAAATATAAGTTATGCCTTTTTCATTCTAAAATGACAACAAATTATAACATGGAAACATAAATGTTTAGATTAAATAGCTTAAATCTCATAACATTATACATTTATGTATATTTATTATTTTTATTATATTGACCTTTCAGCCATGCCTGGCTAACAATACAGAAGTTACAATGATGCTGCACACATGCAGTCATGTTACTGTATCCAATAATATAAAACTGACCTTTAGTCTTTATAAATTGAACTGTCTTGGTTGTGTTTTAGTAGACTAGTATTTTGTCAAAGTATTATACATTATATATTTATATAGATTATTACTATTTAGAAATAAGTTCTTAAACTTAGTTTTCTTAAAACATAGAACAGTAAATAAAGAAGTAACGCAAACAATTATCTCTTCTAGTTATGACCTTTGAACTTGCTACCTGACGTAGGTTGCTAGGCCTTTTAAAATTTCGCACATGGAGGATATGAAATAATTTTTTTAGGTTTTATATATATACAGTTGAAATTATAAATTACTATATAAATACTATAGAATTCCACTATAATTTATCAAGCTTAGAAACTAAGCTGTATTTCAGTCTAAAGAAATATGAAATTTTGAGCAGACTAAAGACACAGCCTACCTCCTTGCAATCTTGGTTCGAAAGAATGAAATGGCATCCTAACATTTTAAAATGGCTGAGAAAATCACTAGGGGGACATTCTGAACTTTCAATTGGTTATTGACATGTCATATATTAAAGTAAGTGTATATAAGGGACCATTTCCAAAAATGGGAAAGAGGTGAGCAGGGCCACTGTGTTTGATTCAGTACATGAGCAATATCTCAGCGAATAGAAAAGATACAAGGTTCTTATTTTATATTCTAGCTTGTCAATATCGGTAATTTGAGTTCCTAATTGGTACGTAACTTAGTATTTTGACATAACAAACATCTAGTTTGAACCAGTGCTGCATTCAACATACCATGTGACACACAAAAATTGATGTTTAACTGTGTTTTTTAATATTTACTTTTAAATTAAGAAATTAAATAATGTATAATAGTAAAATTTGAATTATAATCTACAATTTGATACCAAACTTTATGATATAAATTCATGAAATAGTAGTTCAATAAAATTTTGAATGTGAGTCAACAAACGCAATGATATGGCCTTTGACCCGTGACCTGTCTGGAAAGGGTTGAGAGAAATAAGACAACAGCTATGGAGGAAAGTTTGGACCTTGGAAGGGTTCACTAACAAGAATAGAATATAAGAATTTATGGAATGTACAATAACAAGTGGTGAGGTCTTTTTTTTTCAAATAAAAATATTAAACTACTTCAAAGAAAAATTAAATTATAGCCTATTCCAATGAAAAAAAAAGCCAATGCTTTACAATTATAACCACATTCACATCATTATTACAGTTAATATTTTAACATGGTTTGTATTCAGATTTGATTTTCTTTTGGAAAGCTACTTATGTTTTTGAGCTGGTTCATGTTTGAATCTCTGCAGTGAAGTATTATACAAATCAGCGGTTTGTGTTATTAGCAATTACCTTTTATGTGTAGTAGTGTTTGTGCTGAGCTTTAGCTTGTACTCTATAGCCTTTGTTTTCATCAATGTGACTGTAGTCTTTGAGATATGCAGATGTTGATTAGTTGTCTGTAGTGACTAATGTTAATTTAACATGGGAATTACACTTGCATCAACAGAAAAGAACATATGTCCATGTATCACTAATTTTAGACCACAGTTTTGAAAGTGTTGAGTGACACATTGTAGTTCAGAAAGATTCTTCTTTGAGTTACCTGATTTATCAGTGCTAAACTTTCTAAATGATTATGCTAATAACTGTTTGGTGATATTTTTCTGTCAATAACAATTATTCCTGATTAACAACCTTATGGCAGCCACTTTATGGTCATCTAACCTTTTGCTGATTTTACTTTTGTATTATTATACAAGTTATAAACTAAATGAAAATGTAAAAGAAAGGATAATTTACCATAAAAACAAAGAACAAAAGTTGAACTTAAGTGGATTAGTTTATACAGGTTTTATTCTTAATCCATGCAAACATTAATAAATACTGACAATTTTTTATCGTATGTTTGTTATACAGTGTTAGTATAAATTTGACTAGTATAGTATTAGTAGCAATTAGTAACAAATTTATGCACACATTTAGCTCAAATATTAGAAAGTTGAAAACTGAGAAGTTCTATGTAACTATGTTGATACCAATGATTAACTCTACTAATAGTGCTGATAATTATATCAGCCCTATAGTACACATTGTATGAGATGTGTGTGTGTTTAAGTCAACATGATTCTGTACTTTCATTAGTTGAAGTTATTGACTGTGAGGTGTACATGTGTGTGCTTAAGAGAACATGGTTCTACAGTGTTTATTAGCTAGCTCAAATATAACTATCGTCATGAACACTGTAAAGTTCAAGAGTGTGAAGGGGTGTGAGTGGATGTAATGGGTGGGATTGGAGGCCATTACAACAACAAATATTTATATCTTTACGAGGTGTTGGCTTAAATTCATTTCCAAGATATAAAAAATATGTTTGCAAGTTTTTTTTAACCTTTGTATGTACAAGTTGCAAATATGATCTTGGAGTACTTTTTTCTTTATTAATGAATTTGTTTGAAATTACTATGTATTTTTATGGGCTTTTGCATAACAAAACCCCATGTCAATCAAGTTATTAAACCCAATCACTTTGAAATACAAGAAAGCTCTATAAAAACACATGCATATACAATTTTCCAACAGTAATTATTAAGTGGTTTGACATCCATAGAAGCCTATAAAGATATAAATTATAGTCTTACTATTTTGGTTTTATCTGTTACTAGAAGAGGCCCGCCAAACATATGTGATCAAATCAGTATCTTGATTACATCATTATTCTTTAAAAAGAGAATCATAGGCCTAAACCAGTTAACTTTGTTGCAGTACAATTTTTAGTTGTATTTTATCCAAATTAAATCTTGCTTATTATGAGATAAAGCAGGAAAGAAAATTGGGAGGATAGGATGGCTACAAGGAAATATTGGAGGCCATTTTGAAAATACATTTATTTGCTAGATGTTCTCTCTTTTTTTATATATGCCTGTGTTGGAAATAAAATTGAAACAAACATCAAGAGACCATCATTCACTCCCATTCATGCAGGTCTACATGATACAGCAAAAGTTGCAGAGGACATTTCTCATTATAGGAACTAATTACATTGATATAGCATATGTAACTGTGTTGAATTTGATATTAATTTCAGTCTTATTTCTATCAATTTAAATGCTGTATTATGATGATCTTTATTATGTTTATTTTTTGGCAGTATTAATGCTAAAAAAAATTTAGTTAAATTTAACAAAAAATCCTGATTTAGTCACTTTATTCATTTCATACTACTTGGTTCTTTGCTTAAACATAAATACTTGTGCAATGCTATTGAAAGTCACAGTTTTATGATTCTCTTTTACATTTAATGCAATTATACTTTTCATTTATACCATTTAAAACTTCAAAATATTTATGTTGCAAAGATTGTTCCAAGTACCAAAAAAGCTCTTTCAGGCCACATACATACGCCTGGACAAATTAACAGAAAAATTAATAGCATGTCAGCCCCCTAATGGCACTATGCACTTTGATGATAGGATAAATATGTTGTGGCCAGTGGCATAGTTATGCCAATGCAGCCTATGCAATGGCATTGGGTCCCCACACCTGAAAGGGCCCAAACAGGAATGTCAATAATAAAAATAAAAACATTGAAAATATATAAACATTTATGTACCTGCACAACATTTGTTTTTTAACTTTGAAAAAATTGCCAAACGATGATGTAAAAATATCAGTTGTGGTGCTTGTGTGTCTCGAAGTAGTTGTGTATTCAAAATTGTTATAGTCTTTTATATTTTATATTAATTGAATATAATGCTCATTATAGTGTTTTCTGTTTGACCCCCAGCTGTTAAGGTCCCTTGATCTATGATGGCACTGGGGCCAATGTTCTCTAGTTACATCACTGGTTGTGGTATGCATTCTACATGCCCCTGGTTCAATATTGCTGTATTACTAGTAATACTGCAATGCAAAATTGGAATGAAACAAAAAAATGACAAAGAAAAACTAACTATGCCACACTAAACCTACAAATACACATGCATATACACACACACAAACATAAAATGCACAATTTTAAGTTAACTTCTTGTACTGAAATACAGTTATGCTAGACTAAGCCTATAGATACACACACACAAACAGAAAATGCACAATTTTAAGTTAACTACTTGTACTAAAAAATGAAACTGTCCAGCTCTCAAAGTCTTAACTTTTATTCTTATTAACTTAGCTGAGTTGCATTTTGAATTAAAAACATATATATAAAGAAAAGTTTCAGAACCTGGCACTTTTTACCATGAATGGTCAAATTTCAGAAGTTAAAATCAATTTTTTTAGAAAAAGTAAATGTATATAGCTTTATTCAACTATTGGAGTGAAAAAGTCTTAGTTTTGGCAGTTTCTAAGTTTGTGAAAAAAAAAAGGAGAAAGAAACTAAGGTACTTGTTTTTTGTAGTAATAGTACTTGGTAATTTTATTTTTATGAATAACCAAACGTTAATAGATTTAAACTCAATCATCAGTCAATGAAAGTATTATACCATATGGTAGTGATACTCTTATATTTATAAATTACACAAGTTGAATTCTACTAATGTAGTAATGTTACTCTACAGTGTATTAGGTTCAGCAATAACAAACCACATTTAGGCAATAACCGTTTAGTTTATAAAGTTAGAAAAAATTACCGTACCTCTTAAAAAACAAAGACAAGTTATTTTAGCCAATGTTTCGCCATTGCAGTTTTATCAGGGCTAGCAGTAATAGTAATACAACAAGGAGTTCTTCACTTCTGTTGTGTTATTATATTTTTGAATAAATAATTTCAAACTGACTTCGAGATGAATATTATTATTAAAATTTAAATTAAATACAACGTCACTCGCCGTGTCTATCGCTATCAACCTTCTCCACACTGTCCTATTTTCAAATGCAGCATGCCTTTTAACAATCATAAAGGTTTAAATTATTCAATTGATGTCCCTTCAAGAATTTCCAGGTTGTCTTCTTCCTTGTAGTTCCTAATTCATAATTTTTTTGCTAACTATATATTTCCACTCATTGTATATAACCATACCAAGACACAGTTGATGTTTTTTGAACAAAAATAATTCATCGCAGGCTTGTTAGGTCTCTGGTGGCTTTGGCATAAAAAGTGTTGAGACACTTATCACTAACGCCACTATTATGTAAACTGTAAACCAATGCGGCAATGTACCATTTGATTTTGGATCATGAAGTTGATGATCTAGTTCTACCAATTGTACTAATTTCAAATACTATTTCTCTTTCATATCTTACTAATGTTAAAAGTAATATCTAAACTTTTTAAACGAATAATTTACCTTCGGGAAGTCAGTTTAGATTTCCTTCACATGAAGGTTTCTTTAGTTTAACAAATAGAAAAATAAAATTTCCAAGCCAGTTTCTTCATACAACCAATTCATTAAACAGTACATTTACTTAATATTGTTACGACAGCGGTAGTCACGTGACCCTGGTAACACGTGATGAGTTTCTAGAAGGATCGTGAATTGTCCTGGCAACTCTAGTTTTTTCCATGCGCCCTCTATTTTAGTATATAAGCCCGGCAAATAAAGCGAGATGATAATTTGCAAATAGAGAGATTGAAGATATAATTGAGACAGATAATTGAGTCAAGGGAGCGATATTGACCGTAAGAAAAGTGCGCGAATCGTGTGAATTATAGCTGTGTTGAAGTTAAAGTGACTGTGGAAATTCCGTGTATTGCAAAGTTGTATTGAGAAAGAATAAACTAGTTTTATTTAAGAAAGGACTTGCATAGCTGAAGTTCCTCAGGAAGAATTTATACTGGAAATTAACAAATAAGCAGATACCCAACAAATTGGTGTCAGAGAGTGGGACAGAAAAAAAAAGAAAAGAAAAGAAACAAGAAGAACAAGAAAAGAAACAAGAATCGAGATTACAACAGTGGCAAGAAAACCTGCAACAGTGACAGTTCGAACAGCAAAATAAACAAGTAGAGAGATTACAGAAGTTGTTGGAGGAAAAAGAAAAGAAACAAGTAGAATGAGAAAATAAACAAGAAGAGAGACTACAGCAGTGATTGGAGCAGAAAGAAAAAAAAACAAGCAGAAAGGCTACAGCAGTGGTTGGAGGAGAAAGAAAATAAACAAGAACAGAGACTACAGCAGTGGTTGGAGGAGAAAGAAAATAAACAAGAAGAAAGTCTCCAACAGTTGAGAGAAAGCCAGCATACACAAATAAAAAAGATGAATAAATTTCAAAGTGAATTAAATACATTAAAGGACGATTTATTGTCTTTTACACAAGAAGGATATATTAACCATGGACCTAATCAGCCCCAGATAACAGGAGGCTTCCAGACCCCACAGCTAAACCCTAATGCAGACATCTTCAGTCCTGCCAGAAGTCACATCCCAGACATGAGTGTTAGCAATAGTGGTGATCTGGTACGAAGGAATCCACAGGAATTCGACGGGAAAGCACCATGGGAAGCATATAGAGCACAATTTGAGCTCCTTGCAGAAATAAATGGATGGACAGAGGAGCAGAAAGCAGTGTACTTGGCAATGAGCCTGAAGGGACAACCACTGGAAATAGTTGGACATTTGTCAGCAGATGACAGGCACAACTATAGAGCACTGGTAGCTGCTCTAGAACTCGGATATGGAATTCAAAATCAGTCCAAAGTCTACAGGGCTAGGTCCGTGCTAAAGGGGAGAGCCTGCAAGAGCTGGCACAGGATTTGGAAAGTATGGCACACAAAGTCTACCCAACTGCACCACCCAATGTCCTCAAACTGTTGCTGTGGGATCAGTTTGTAGCCACCTTGGACAGTCCACAACTGAAGATAGAAGTGAAGCAAGCACACCCCTCTACTATACAAGATGCAATGGCCAGATCCCTTGAATTCGAATCCTAAGTTAAGTCCAGAACAGAGGTACCAAGGTTGGTCCAGTCATCAGGCCAGAAAAGGGCAGCTTTCAGAAACGTTTAAGGGACATTGCTGGCACTGTAATAAACCTGGGCACAAGAGAGCTCAATGCCAGCAACTCCAACACAGGGAAGATGCCATGGTAGGAAAGGCTACTACCCAGAAAGGTTGTTGGAACTGTGGAGAGCAAGGATATATGAGGAGCCAGTAAGAAGAATACCACAAATAATTCAGCTTCGGGAACCAGTAGTGGTTGGTGCTGAGGGACGTTCACCAACCCCTATTGTGAAAGTCCCAACAGCTAAGTGTAAAATGACAAGCACGCATAGTGTCTACGTGACAGGAAAGCTGAATGGCCAAAAGTGCAACTTTGTCATAGATTTTGCTTCTCAGCAAACCCTTGTGAGTATCAAGGTGCTAGATCACAAAGGAGTACCAGATGCTATATAGAAGCTCT